GGAATATCTACAGTGGTGGAATACCACAAACGATTCCTCGAACTAGCTTGTTTATTGGTGCCCACAGAGGCGACTAAAGTAGAGAAGTTTGTGGCGAGTCTCCACTTCGAAACTCGAAAGGCTTTAACCTTAAGTAAACTAAGGACCCTCAACGAGGTTTACACTAGCACTGTCGACCTTTACCAAATCCAACTTCTACAACGGGGAGTTTAGGAGCAGCTCCGGGAAAAGGAGTAACGGAAGTGGGGTACCACCTGTAAAGAGAACTAGGACGCCAATTAAAGGTAAGGAAGTGAAGTACCGCATGAACAATGCATTTGCTCAATCTTTAGTGCAAGGTAAGTATTTCATGTTGACTTGTGAACCCTTTGCCTCAGCTTAAAGTATCATTCGCCCTTGAATCCCAGCCTCTCGATATTCCTAATTGTTGAAACCCTTGCCTCGAATCCTTGGCTATCCTTGAAAGCAATTAAACACCCGTTATGCCTTTACTCACTCTTTGTTGTATCTAATTTATCCTTGGAAACCTTAAAATCGTTATAAGCTTGGAATCATTACCATTGCTCTAATCTTGTATCCCTCTCTTTCGAACCCTTGCTAAAATTCTACAAGTGGTGTAAACCCCTTGCTTCGTCTAAGTGGCATGAAGGTTGATGCTTATTAGGTTGGTGTTAGGATAGTTGTTAAAAGGGACTCGGCGTGTCAAGTAGAGGCGGCGGATGCGTGGAAAGTGTTGTGCATTAAGCTTCACTGCAATAAAGATCTTATTTTGGAATGAGGACCTTGATGGTTTTAAGGCACCGTAAGAAGTACATGCGACACACAAAATCGCCGAACGTCATGTGACGTCGAGAGGAGTCAACCAAATGCATTCTAAGAAAGAGAAAGGCATCACTAAGCATTTGGTCACTAAAGGATTAAATGGGACCAGACGACAAGCCGAACTTCAAAGAAAGACCAAGAGGGCTTGTCGTTAACCAAGACAAGGAAAAGACAAAAGATTGGATTACAGCCAGCTACCTCATGTAGATTTCAAGATTTGCCAACTATGAACGAGACGCGGCCTATTGAGCGATTAGTAAGGGCATGCATGAATCCCTGGGGAAAAGACAAAAGATTGGTAAATGACTTAAACCCATGTCTCGTTTTCAAAAAGGTATTATCGATTGCGTTAGTCATGAAGTTACAGCTGAACCCTACGATTTGACCAACTAGGAATGATTGACAAAAAGAAACGTGCAAACCAAGAAGACGAGTTGAGAACTCGTGCTACGGACTTACAAAGGCCTCAAGTCAAGTTCTAAGGATGGACCGAGTTTCTTACAATCTTGGTTATCGTTCGCATCTTCAAAGAACTCCTTCAAGATTTTGTAAAAAAAAAAAAAAAGCAAGAATGCCGACACCTATGGTACAAACCCATTCCAGCCCTTAGCCCTTTTTTTACCTTACTAAAAGTCCCCGAATCCGTGAAGAATAAAAGAGACATCCTTTCCGCCAAAGAAGAAACAAAATAAGACGGCTAGAGTCTAAGGACATTTCTTATCATAAGATTCCGTGCACCCATTCTAGGATCATACGTTCAAGGGAAGTGTAGGGAACACATTGGTATCAAGACCTCAATTACATTAAGGGTCAAACAAGGAAGTAAAACAACTCGTAAGGACCGCCAAGTCATTTCGCAACAAGAATCAATAACCGACTGCATTCCAAGAAGGAAGGAAGTGGGCTAAGCACTTTCGCTACTAGAAGCATCACCAAAAGGGCGCAACAAGTCAAATTTCGGGGAAGACGTGAAGTCGTGCTAAGGATTTCACCTAACAAGGAGGAAATGAAATTCAATAAAACGTGGAAACCAACCAGAAATCCCTTGATCCTTAAGAAACCTTAACAAGAATCGGGAGTTGAGAGCTAAGGATTGGCTTTGCTAACCGACTAGGTCAAGACTTTTGGGCATTTTGGGAGAGTATGCACGGAATTCATCACGAGAATTCCTTCAAAAGCGGTAAAGATGGATGAGACTTTAGCTTGGGAAGAAAAGATCAACGGAAATCTTAGAATCAAGCGAAGCCAAAACTAAAGAAAAAGATCCTCAGTTCGTCTTTACGTCATAATCGAGTTTCAAACAGGAATAATCGCTCGAAGTCGAGAATCCTTAACCCTATTCAAGCCAAACTACTTTCCTTTCCTTTTCTATCGAATACCGTTTCGTTGAGAAATCCATTCCCCCATTCCTAACCTCATTCTTGATTCCTTATTTCAAATGATACCATACAAGGTGGCAACCTTATTTCCTAAGTTGCAACTTTGAAAACTTTGATCCTATTTCCTAAATTAATTTTGTCCTCAAGTTTGAAACCCGAATCGTCCACTCTCTTTATCCTTTGAACCCAATCGTTCCCAAAAACCTAGTATACCACCTAGATATATAATTATATATTTTCCCCCGTAGAATACTTTCTCTATATGACCACCGTACTAGTTTTGACTCGTTATCCTCGTAATGATTTCTAAGCTTCGGGGACGAAGCTTCTTGTGAGGGGGGGGGGGGGGGGGGGAGGGTGTAATACCCCGTGTTACGGCCTTCAATCTCAAATTAATTATTTAATTAATTCCGTTAATAATAATTAAAAAGGATTTAATTTGGTTAGGATTCCCTTTAATTAATTAATGTGGTCCACCATGGATCGTGGACCCTTGCCTAATCTAGAGTCTTAAGCCTATTAGGAATAAATAGAGTAAACCTTTTACTAATCAGATTCTAATTAGGAATCCTAGACCTACACATCTGTCAGGAATAAAGAAAGTAGGCCTTTTCTATTAAGATTCTGATTAGGATTCCTGATTCTATAAATAGGGGATTAGAAAGCAATTAGAACCCTTACCACTCATAGTTATATTACACTAAAATATTCCCAAGAGATTTCCCACCACCAAGCCCAGGGAGATCAATTAGAGGGAAATCTTAGGGAAGAACCTTAATAGGCAAGGGGGGATTAATTAAGGCTAAGAGGTAACCCATGTCTTACAAAACCTATTTTCCTTTCTATATCTTATTTATTGGCTCGTTTGATAATCGTATGTGAAATTATATGATTGAGTCTTGATAGAGCCCTTGCCTAGGATTTATATTATGTTTATTTGATAACCGTGATGATCTCGATGTTGTGGATTGATTATGTGTGTGACCTTGTATTTTAATTATGTCTAGAGTTTGTCCCTAGGGTTTATATTGTGAATCTCGTTGTTGTGATGTTCTTGATATATTTGGGTGGGTTTATGCATGATCGTGTGTTGAGTCTAGCATAGGATTTGTCTTTAGGTCTTTGTATATAGATTTCTTGATGATCTTGAGGTTCCGAATGCTCCTGAACCGTTATGTGATTAATGTTTAGTTTTGGCATGTTTAGGAATCGTGTTAGAACGTATTCAGAATGATTCTTGATTTAATTCCATTAATTTAATCCGTGGTGTCATCATTATGTGTTGGAATGTGTCTGGACATGATTTTGGGATCCACGAGTGATCCCGGGACTGAAAAGTTGTCTATGTACCGGTGGGGGGTAGGTGGGGGGATGACCGCCCACCACCTACCCGCTGCCCGACGAGCCCAATCCAGCGGGCAGCCGGCGGGCGGTGGCCTGCCGTGTAACACCCCGTGTTACGGCCCCTAACCCCAACTAAATATTTAATCACTTACCCTAAAAAGGGAATTAAAAACTCATTAATCAATTTAGAAAGGTCCACCATAGTCCATGGGCCCACATCCCTACAACCAACCCCCTTAGTCCTATAAGGAATAGAATTAACAAGCCCATAATATTTAGACCTCAATTAGGACTCTTAGGAAGATATATACATATACATACATACATACATACATACATACATATATATATATATATATATATATATATATATATATATATATATATATATATATATATATATATATATATATATATATATAGGGTCATAAGAGGCACTTAGAACCTACATCACAATAATCTCTCACCGCACAAGAAGAACCAAGAACCCCTAGGAGAAATCAAGAAAAAAGAAAGCTTAAAGAAAGACCCTTCATAGCCAAGGAAATTAATTAAGGCTAAAAGGTAATCCATGTCTCAACAAAACCTATTTTCCTTGCCATAATCTTCTTCTTTGGCTCCTTCTCTATGATTGTGTCTTGATAAATCTTTTATGATGATCACTACAAGAAAATTGGTCATTAGTGAGAGGTAAAACCGTCACTAAAACATCAAAAACCATCATAAAAGACTTTTAATGACGGGAAATTTACCGTCACCACCCGTCGTTATTTCTTCCGTGGATAAAAACAAATAGTGACGGGATATGATACCATCGTCAATAAGCATATAGTGATAGTATATTTACCGTCACTAAAACATTCTTTTTACGACAATAAATCCCGTCGCTAATACAACTACTCACTAACATAATTTTCTCTCATTATATTCTTGTAGTGATGAAAAATCCCATCACTAAAAATTATAATTTAGTGTTAAATTTTATTTTTCTAATTTTTATATATTATTAATTCTCATTAAATATTAATTTTTCTAATACATTGTGATCTCACTAATCGATATTATGTTATGTTGTAACTATAGATATTGTATTGGTAAAAATTAAATTAATTTTTACCATAATGCATTCAAAGTAGACTCGATCAATATATTAAAATATTTCATCATCACTATTAAAATGAAATTTCTCATACAACTTTGTAAAAACTAAAGACAAAGAAACTAATTATAACAAATAGTCATAGTAATGTATCTGTTGGCTATTTTGCCTAAGTATTTGAACTAATTTTGCTCAAGTCTTGCAAGAACAGTGGTGAGCTCAAACCCCTGCTTATCATCTCACTTCCGGCCAGCTTCGAAATCACAAACCTCTGTCAATAAAACCCCAAAATGTTTTAGTATAATCTTAAGACATACAACTTCCAAGCTTAGAATCCATCAAATGATCTATCAATATTTGTAACACAGCAAGGAGAAGGGTGACATCTACTATGGCATATGATTAAACAAAAATTTTATGTTAAGAATAATAATAATCATATAATTATAAATACAGATTGCAATAGAACTATTCTGTGTGTACATCACCCTATTCATTTTGGAAGAAAGGAAGTACAAAATCTGTATGTACAGAGAAGAGCTGTGTGTCCAGGAAGAGCTGTTTCATGCCATACAAAAACAAATACATTGGGGATTGATTAATTATGTTCGGTTTGAAGCATTCATAGAAAGCAAACTAAAGATTTTGTAATGTTCAGAGCAAAGCATTTGTTGATTATTTCAACAGTTTAGTGACATTATATACATATCTCAGGAAACAAAGTCAAATATGAATCGAATGGACAATGATCTTAGTTCACAAGACAGAAAAATAACCGTTAATATATAACACTGAGCATTAGAAACATACCTTCATAAATGGTTGATCTCGATAGGGGAAGGATTCGATGAAACTGTCCTTCAAGAGCAATGATACCTATATTAAACATAAAGGCCTGAGTCATACCATCATGCCTCCTCACGATACCAGGGATATCAGTGACCTGAAGACAAAAAATACTATAAGTGAAATTGTAGAAGAAATCATGGAAATATGGGTAAAATTTACTAGCATTGGAGACAATTGCAAACCTGAAAATTCTAGTAGCTCAATGTAATATGGCCCATTAAACTATTATACACTTAAAATTATTCTGTTGTATAGAATTTAAAATAGAATAGTATACTGTTATACACTCGAAATTCTTGAAACTACAGCAATTTACTGTATGCATGTTTTGGTGAGCAATCTTGAACAACAAAAATCAAAATCTTTATCATCACCACAATCTAATTAAATTTTAAATATTTGTACCAAGTCATGAGTAATAGGACAAAGAGAACGCAATAATTTAATCTTATCCTTAGTTTATAATGAAACCATAAAATGAAAAGCAAATATACCTCATCAATCCAGTCCCACCACCGGGAACTCCGTCTAAATCCGGTTCCTAACGACATTATACATCAAAGGCTCCTGTCGTTCACCTAAAACGCAAGAAAAGATTAAGCAAACAATTTTTTAACTGCTCTCGGCCTCCAGTTTCTGCAGTATTTTGCTTTAAAAAAATTATGAAATAATCAATAACGTATTGATAACAATGATGACCAGTGGTGGGATGCAAACCCCACTGATGTCATAAGACAAGCTTAGAAAATTGAATGTCTAAAATAGGAGACTAAGGCCAGCCATGAAACAGTGGTAATTTCATGAGTACTTCTAGTCTCCTATGTGAAATAGTGGTATCAACATGACATAGCTCTATATGAAACTGTGGTATCAACATGAAATAGGAGACTAAAGCCAAATGCCAGCCTAGAAACTGAATGTTTGAAAGTGATTTTTTTATACAGAATAGTAGTTGATCTGCCAAAAAAGCACACTACCCTCATAATCCCTAAACCAACAATTCTTTAATATTGAGAATACTAAAGAAGTGCCTTCAGGCATTAGCATGAAACAACACAAGTGTTAAAGAGCACTCTTGCCAAGCATCAAGGGTACATAAAGGAGAGAACTAAAGAATCAAAACTTTAAAAGCCATACCTGTCTACATCTTATTGTAGACAAGATGTCACTAACCGTTTGGTCTTTTATTAAAAGATATGCAGACTTGTTGGAGCCAACAGAGAAATTTGACATTGTGACTCACATAGTAGAGTTCTGCAGTAAATTAACATATTACATCAAAACACAATACTCATAATCAACAAATGCAGCTAGCAACATTAAGTATAATGGAACACAAAAATAGATCCCCAAAAGGGAAAACTAATAACAGGCAGCTCTAGTTCAACTAAAGAAGTGGAAATTCAAAACAAATCGACTAAAAAAACAATAGGGGATCCTAGTAGTAGAGATGAGAGAAAAGCAGAGTAAAACATTCAAGTTATCAATCTGCAAACTGGCCATCTGACAGGAGAAATGCAGAGCTTATTGTTAACTTCTAAACATTGATACTCAAAAGGTTCTTGATCTGACCCTTTTCTTTCATCAAGAAATGGTTACCTTGCCCTAATTCGAATATGAAAGGGGGTTCCCTTTTCAAGGCTTTAATTGGAGTATTCTCCACAGCAAATACTATTCTAAGTATTCATATTCATCCACAGCACACATATACATATATAAACAAATATAGAAAACTTCAACTGTAAAAAAAAAAAAAAAAAAAAAAAAATAGCAAATATAGATAACAGGAAACACTTACCGGCGGTGGGCGAACTGGTCGGCAGCTATCGCAAGGGAGGTAGACCCCTCGTCGGCGGCATCAGTTTCGTCGCCTTTGTCGGATTGTCGATGGAAACAAAACCAAAAAAAATACAAAATAAGATAACAATAAACCCTTACCGGCACTGGGCGAATTGGTCGGCGACACAGCAGGGGAGGCAGAGCCCTTGTCCGCGACTACCACAGGGAAGGCGGTGCCCTCATCGGCTTCGTCTTCGGTTGCAGCTTTGCTTGGAATCTTGGAGACCGGAGGAAGCGAGGAGGGAGACTTGTGTAAGTTAGGGTTTCAAATTTCTTTTTGAAAAGACAAAGCAATCAGCGGCGGCTATGGCGATGGAGGCGGTGGTGGAGGTTCACGGTAGAGTTAGATTTGAGAGAGTGAGAAGGGAGAGTGTGGACTGTGGAGGTTGTGCGTAATCTGAGTGAGGGGGTTGCGGTGTTGAGAGCTGGTGAGATGCAAGCGCCCAAAAATAAAGTTTTGGTGGGAATAGATTTTAGTGAAATAATTTTTACGCATCATTAGTGAGAGTAATAACATCTTTTTTACCAATAGTGAGAGTAAACTTTTTAAATAAAATTAAAATTAAAATTTCGTCACCAAATCATAAATATTTAGCTAGAGTAATTTTTTACCCTCACAAAAACTATGCAAATACTATATTTAGTGAGGGGTTTTTTTACCCGTCACTAATTTTTTGTCACTAAAAGTTGTTTTTCTTGTAGTGGATTATGATATGACCTTGATGTTGATGAGATGATCTTATGTGCTGATCTTGATAATCTTGATGATTATTAGAAGATCTTGATGATTGTGTGTTAATTCTTGATAAATCTTGATGTCCTTGATTTTAAAGATAAGGTATGATTTTTGTGATTTAAATATGATTAGAGCCCTAGGTTGAATCGTGAATTTCGTATTGTGATATTCTTGGTATATTTGGGTGGGAATTCGCATGTTCGGGTGTTGATTATGTTTAGAAGTCATGTTAAGATGTGTTCAATGTGATTCTTGATTTTGATCCGTTAACTGCCTACGTGTTGTCGATAATTGCATTTTGAAGTGTCTAAGCATGGTTTCGGGTTCCACAAAGGTCCCCGGGACGAAATTATGGTAAAAGAGTCAGTGGGGGGTAGGGGAACCCGCTACCTACCCGCTGCCCAGAAATCACCGCCGGGCAGCCGGCGGGTGACCCCCACCCACCGGCTACCCGCTGGACCATACCCCACCCCGGGTTTTCGGCTTCCCCGTTTGATGTTCCCCACTCCCCGTGGTGTCCCAACGGACCCCGTTTGTCGTGCTCAAGCCTAGTTTGATATTTCGGTTACCGTTCGTAGGATAAATGAGTCTTAGGAAGTGCATGCTAGTTAAATTGGTAACCCGTTGACCTAGGTGGAAGTTATATGAACCCTTAGGACTATTCTTAGTATGTGGATGATCACACGTAAGTTTATTTATATGCCTTTCCCTTCCCTATGTGCTACTATGTGTTATGTGATACATGATGCCCCAATTTGGTTGCGATCAAATGGGATGTTCCTGAGCTGCGGTTCAGAAGTTAGTTGCGGTCAAATTGGTTACTTATGAGCTGCGGTTTGTCCTCCTGGCTGCGGTCAGTGATTCACTTCTTGGGCTGCGGTCCACATGGGCCTCGGTGCTATGACCCACCGGACCTGAACGCGCCAAGACGGTGTGTAGGGCCAATAAGCCGAGGAAGGCTATAGTCCACCGATCTGAGTAATCGGGCGGTGTGTAGGGCTATGGCTGGCTGCGACCCATCGGGTGATGGGGCGGCGGTGTGTAGGGCCATAGTCTCTGAGGATCTTCACCCACCGACTGAGTATAGCTCCGCGGTGTGTCGGGCTTGATCCGCTAGGGTCCACCGGATGTACCCATCGGCGGTGTGTAGGGTCGTAAGTCCCCCCTTGTAAAGGGGATCGAGGTCCACTGACTGGGTGCGTCAGCGGTGTGTCGGATCGTGGTCCGACGTTGAGTTCGTCAGCGGTTCTAAAAGGGTTGGTTGCGATCAACTCCCCTTATACCGCGGTACTGAGGTAGGGTGCTGCAGGGCCGTGTTAATGCTATAAGCATTAACCCTCATGTTCGGGGCATGCGATTGGTCCCGTGGCGCCATCAACGATTATGTGATATGAATGGTGATGATGTGGTTGGAATTGGAGAATGATCTGTGACTTTAGATGCGTATCCCTTATGATGTTAGCTCTACTTAACTATTTATTATTGTTTGATGAGCTCGTCCCTATTTGCGGAGTCTATTCCCGGCTTTTAAAATTAGTGTCTCTTAAGTATTTATCTTCCTGCTTCGAAATGATTTTTCATATATCTATATATATCTATCTATAATGTATTTCAACGCGTTGGAGTGGGTTACCAGCATCTCTCGCTGAACAGATATATTTGGCTTTCAGGCACAGATGAGTAAACACTGGAGCGCGCTAGAGATTTAGAGCGTAGAGTAGATAGTTTCCCTTTCGGCCTGCGTGCCATGCTTATGTATTGACATCATTGAGGATTTTAGTTAGTTAGCCTGTGCACCTGAGTTCTCTAGCTCAGGTGTGGCATAGCACCCCATACTCTTATGTTATATTTTTGGGATTTAATGAGAATTTACCTTTATTATATAAATTTTAAATGTTTCAAAATTTCGGGGTGTTACAAGTGGCCTGCCCGCCGGCCACTCGCTGGAATGATGGCTGCCCGCCGGCGGGTGGTCCTCCACCCGCCACCCACTCGCTAGAAAGTTGTTTCCCCGTGTTCCAATGTGTCCCGTTGTAGCCCGTTTGTCGTATATGAGTCTCGTTTGATGTTTTGATTACCGTTCTAGGAATTTATGTGTAGTGCGTGTCGTTGATGTTATGTCTTGATTGCTATTGGTGGATTATGTGTTGCATGATTGAATGATGATGAGTATCGTGGTCATTGCGCAATGATCGGTGTAACTAATGATGATAAGATTGTGATTGGTGGAAATGAATTGTTGGCAGTTGGCACAACGAATGCCCGGTCATTGTACTAAAGGTACATGCCTCGCGGTTACTGTGCTAAAGGCAGAAACCCACCTTCGACTAGCTTGCCGTTGAGCACGGGTCAGGTTATAAGTGCTGCGGTGCCATGTCGGGGCTATATGCACTGACCCCTTGGTATTAGTACTAGAGGTACGGATCATGCGAATGACTCTGCGTCGCTATCTTGATATGTTGGTGGTTGATAGGTGGTTTGTCGGTGGGGGCATGTAGTTGCCCGAAGGAATAAGGGAGGCGATATAAGGGTGGCCTGGAGGTATAGGTTGGAACTGATATAAAGACGGAGGGGAGCCACAAGGTTAGAACTTGGTATAAGGTTGGAAGATGGATTGTGTGACTTGATGATTGGTTGTT